TTAGTGGTCATTCAACCAGTTAATTCAAAATTCGCTCAGTTATTTTTGCTTTATTATTTTATGTTGCATTTGTTTAATATATATCATCGTGGTAATTATATTATAAGCATTTATCAAGAAACAATATATCTATATATATTTTTTTTTATATTCAAGCCAGAAACAGTTACAGCTATAAAGATATCGATATACATAAGTATATATGTGATCCATTTTCGTAATGCATTATAATCATGCAATGTCTTAAGTTGTGATCTCAAAGTTCAATTGGATGGTAATGCGCAGGACATTGTATGTATACCAATAGCTGATTAGTTTATAATTGCCCAAGGACATGTGTACTGGAAAATTGAAATTCTCATCGAAGCGTAAACGATCGATGATAAATTCGTCCTGCAATATTGAAATATGAAAATGGCAACAAACTTATGTTAATTTAAATTTACGCACAGCGAACGGACACGAATGATTCAAGTTGGTGTAAACGTCAAATTTGAGAAATTTGTAGAAAGCATTCGCGAGGATATTACGATTTCTGGCATTCATGAATCGACACGCATCCACGGTGAATGCATATAAAACGGGCTTGTCATAGCCGCGATGCTTCAACTCCAGACGAACCTATAAAGTACACAGCTTGAGTCTTCGCCTCTATGGTATATATAGTATTTATAGTCATATACCGTAGCATTGGTTATTGGCTCCTTCGGTAGTTTGATAAACACATAAACATCTTTAACACCACGCGCAACCGGCTTTAGAATACAGCTTCTGATGTGAATAATTTCGGGATCGAACGAGTGGCATTCTATTGACTTGAATCGTGTATGTTCACTCCAAGTGGGCGTGGCCAATACAACTATAATGAGCAAGTAATATATGGACATAGTTGTTAGGCTTTAACTGAACGACCTGACGACGCGTTTTCAACTAATGAGTGATGAGTGAAGCAAGTCATTAACAAGTGCTTATTCATTTATAATTATTTCTATATTAGGGCTGCTCAAATTGAAACCTATAAAAATAATTATTTAAACAGTTACATAAGTTGAACAAAAATTGAAATTTTCTATGATAATTTTTTTCCCATAAGCAGTTGAGTAGCTAAATTGAAGTTCGAGCTTATTAAAAATTCAATTCGGAAAGTACTAGCCAAAAGGCCTACTAAAAGTTATTGCTCGACTCCAGCAGCCTTTTAATAGCTGCAAATGTAGGCTAAAGATCAGCTAGTCTACGAAAATGCATATGATATTCTTTCTGCTACTATGTAACTGTGCACGTTTCTATTTATAGCCGTCTTTTTATTTTATGTGGTCATAACTTGTTGTCAAAATAAAATAACAAACAATTGTGTTCAACTGTCGTTGACAGACGTTGCTAACATTATTGTTGTTGCCGGCGTCAAAGTCAAAATTAAAAACGCAATGACAAAAAACAAACTGATGCTGAGCCCACCTTTGCTACCGAACTGAAGATTGGCGCGTGAAAAAACGCGCAACGCATCAGCAGAGGGACGCAGCAGCAAGAACAATGCTGCCATAAATAACAAAGGCAAATGTTGCTAGCGACACACTCACTGCAAAAAAAAAAAAAAAAAAAAGCAAAAAAAAAGCAAAAAAGGGGCGGCTGCTGAGCAGGGGTAAAGGTGTGACTGAGGACGGAGGCGGGACGCAAGGCAAGATTTGTGCCTGCTTGTGGCACTGTCACTGGGGCTGTGCTGAATGTGCCGTTAGAAGCGCAGCAACATGACAAGCAAACACCACAGCAACAGCAGCAGCTAAACAGCGAGAGGGGCGGGGGGCTGTCACAGGGTGAGAGGAGCGACAAGAAAATATTTACAATCAAGTCGATTAACAAAAGGAAACCTTGTGACGCGCACTTTGGAGTTCTCTCTGTGTATTACTGTTTTTTTGCGCTTCTGCTTGTTGTTGTTGTTGTTGTTGCTTTTTTAATTAAAAATCAGTGAGCACGCGCCCACGCCCCCTGACTGTCATCGGCGCCATTTTGCAAATCAACGCAATGATTGCGCCGCCTTGTTTTGTCATCGCATTTCATGCAACGAAATATTTTTCATAAATATAACGGGACTTTGGCAGGCAGCACTTGAGACTTTCGCCACATTTCCCCCAGCAACAACAACAACAACGAATACACAGCAACCCGCCGCAGCAGCAGCAGCAGGAGACATCATCATTAGGGCCGCCCACGCAGGAAACTCGAATGAAAAAAAAAGAAAAGAAAGAAAATAGCTGAGAGACACAGAAGCTGGCTCTTTGAGCTGGTTGCAATTGTTACGGCTCCCCGTTGTTATTGCCACAGCTCCAACTCCAACTCCAACTTCAACTCGAGCTCCCAGCTCTGAGCTCTCGGCATCAGCTCCATCTCCATCTCCATAGTTAACGCTCAGTGCTTATTGTCTTAAGAGGTAGTCGCTGTTCTATAGGAGGCCAGACTGGGGGATTGGTTGAGGGGGGCCGTGCTTGGCTACGCATATGGCACATTGGTGGCATGGCTGGCGTGCGGATATAACGGTAGACTCATTGAAAATGAATAACTGTGCATGACGCACCATGGCGTCAACTGCAGCCAACAATGGCCAGCCGAGCACACACTCCAAACTTAATAATGTAAACCAATTGGCAAATGTACAAATTGCAAGAAAGATTATCATTATGCAATTATTAAAATTGAATTTCCCATTGTAATTGTTAAATATTTTTATTTATTTTTCTTTTTCTTTCTCCAGCCTTTTACAAATTCAATTTGTTCACTTTACATATCGATTGATGATGAGACAGAATCTTTCATTTCAAGCATAGTGCCTGCCTTTAGAGGCTGAGGCAGCTGCTGCCGCCTTTTCCCTTTTCCACTTCAATTCTCCTTGCTTCTTATTACATTCATTTTTTTTTTTTTTATATAAATATATTTTCATGCAATTTTTCACTTTGCGACTTTCACGTTGTTTATGCAAATAAGCGCCAAATGCTATTTGAGTTTAGCGCAACAAAAAGGAATAAGAAGCGGAATTATGGTAACGCGATTGTCAACGGCACAGGCGCCATTTCGCAATTCTAAGCTGATGGCACCGTTATGATTATGACAGTTAGAGCGGGCGCCATGTTGTGCCAGCAGCAGTGGCGGCGAGAGAAAAGAAGTCCCAAATGTTAATAACACATCAAGTGCGAGCGACAGCACAATGCCAGAGTAGCTGTCTCGCTCACACTTGCACGCGCACGTGCTGGCAAACAAGCCACACAACGGTTGCTGCTGCTGCGACTCCCGCTGCGGCTGCTGCTGCTGCTGTTGTTTTTACAAAGTGTAAATTGTTTTAATACTTTTTAGTGCTTTATGACGCCATCTTGGCAGCGATATGCGCCGGCAGCGCTGCTCTGCCCTGGCATCAGCTGCGCCCAAGTGCGCCCAGCAATGACTCCTGGCTGCCAGCCACTCTTACTCTCACTCTCACTCTTACTCACACTCGCGCAGAGCGTACACGTGTAGAGCGCACGTTAAAATCTCAACTTTTACGACCTTTGCAGTGACGTCGACGTCGACGTCGGGGGACGTTCGCCCAGCGAGTTTTTTATTTTCTTTTCTATTTTTTGTTTGCGTCTATTCTGTGTGACGTTGACTCTTACCTGTTGCCCTCTCTGCTTGCCCGCTGCACTTAACACAAATAGCAATTGTCAGAGATTCTGCACGTAATACTACCCTCGCTGACACGCCCCCCGCCCCCCACATCTGGCTGCAAACTACATTTGGCTGACAGTTTGAGCTGCCAGCTGTTTTAATCAAAATTGTTTCGTTTTGCGCATTTCACTTCATGAATTGTTCAGTTGTAACTGTCAAATAAAGTTTGGACGCACTTCTCTGTGGTGGGGGCGTGGCATGCTGTTCTGACACTGCAAATGCTGGTAATTAAAATACTTTTGCGTACAGTTTTGTTTATTCTGTTGTTTGCCATTTTGTTGGCAATTAGTTGCACGTTTTTGTATAATTCTAGCCGAACTGTCCCCCGTTTTCCACGCCTCTGCGTAAACATTTCAACTTTGTTCTCTAATTTATTTGCTTATTGGCATATTTTGTTCTCATTACAGTTAGTCAAACAATTTCTACAGAGCTGGCCAGCAAAATGGATACGACACTTGGCAAATATTAGACGTAAGTGCATAGAAACGAATTCATAAGTGAAATTTTTGTTTTTCCTTTTTTTTTCTTTTTTGAGATCTTAACATGAGTTGACGACTTAAAGTTTAGAAAGTCGGAAAATCATTTGCAGCCGCAGCTAATTTCACTCTTATGCATTACGAAGCTGTCAATCAAGAGTGAAATTTGAAGCTGCAACCCTTCCGGCTGTGCCACACATAATAATGTTGGCTGCTGTAAGGCTACTAATGCGGCAACAACAACAAGAATAGAGCCCTGTAGCATTAGCTCAAACCTGAGCTTAAACTCAGCTATGCTGCTCGAAATGGGTCACTCACGCCAGGTGCCTGAAATGTGTCAAATGTGGCCTGCAGCCAATCAGGCAACCAGTAGCGCCTGCCTAGCGCTCACGCCAATAGCCGCTTAATAAGCGCATAGAATGCGGCCACAAATCACAGGCGCTGTAAGCAACAACAAAAAGCGCTCAAGCTCGTCTCACTCCCTCAGCTAAGCCGGCACCTGTTACGCGCTGAGCAGCACTTGCTAGGCGTATAAGAGAGGGAGAGTGAGAGAGAGAGCGGCTCAGCTCAATTCAGAGAGCGGGTTTGTTAGCATGTGTTGTGTATGTGTGTGCGAGAGCGCGTGCCTGATCGTGAGGTGAATTTCAGCCGGCTGTGTTGAGTTTGACCTGCATCAACCTGTGCGCGTGCGCACTCTCTCTCTCTCTCTCTCTCTCTCTCTCTCTCTCTCTCTCTCTCTGTTTGCTTCTGCTGTGTTGAACTTTCTGTTGTCGAAACAACTTTCGACGCACGCGCAACGGCTTTAGTAGCGATCGCGACTTCAAAGCGCACAGTTTGTATGACGCTCGTAGTGAGAATTGCGCGCAATTTATTTTCGATTTTCATTGATTTCTCGTTCTGTTATTGATTTTACGCACGTAATTAGCACAAACGGATTGGCTGCTAATTGCAGCGGACAGTAATTGCTGTGCAGCCGACAGGCGACATACCAGTGCAACGGTGTCAATTGATTTGATTTGATTTGTGATGCGCTAATTGGCAGCAGCTTCAATTGTGTTCCAAATATGTCCAAGCTGTTGGCCAAGAAGCGCTGGTGGAAAATCTGCTTGCCCCACTCGCAAAATGATGCCAACAAAAAATATCGCGAAGTTATACGACACAGCGAATGCGCTTCGGTTCTGGCCATTACGGACACTAGCAGCAGCAGCAGTAGCGGGAGTGGGAGTGCAAGTGGAAGTGGCAGCGGCATTCAAAGCTGTGATAGTGTATCGAAAATTTCCCAACCGGATGCTGGCAAATTGTTTCCGCGCAATATGCCAAGCATTCGACGCAGTCGTCGACGTTCCACAGAGCGCAAGGAAAACGTTTCGGCTCCTGCTCAGGCAGCAGCTGCTGCTCCCACTCCGGCTGCTGCTCTAACCGTGCATCGCACACATCAGTCGCGCCAATCGACAGTCACCAAATTGACGCCACGCAAGCTCAAGTCGAATTGCTCAAAGCAGCGCCACTTGGTCAAATCTGCGGTGAAGACCAAAACGAGGGTCAAGCTGGCGCCCTACGACATCTCACTCGAGCTGCCAGCGCCTGGCTGTGTGGACGAAACTGCGCCAAGTTTGGCACGCGCTCTGCACTCGCAGCAATCGAGTTTGATAAGCAGCGATCTGTCTAGCGACTGTTTGCCCGCCAAGCAGGAGGAACATTTCCACTCATCGGGCATCTCCTGCAATGGCGAAACCGATGACGACGTGGAGGTGGCCATGCTAACCGGCTGCCTCAGTCCGCAGCAGCTGCAGCGCGTACAGCATCGAAACAGACCCAATCAACAGTTGCCACTGAATGAGCTGCTCAGTTTGAATGTTTGCCGGAATCGAAACGCTGTTTGGCTGCACAATGCGCAAACGGATCAATTGCTGGACTGTGGGCGTGGCAACTGCGAAACAGCAGCCATCGCCGATGATATGCAATTAAGCGATATTGAAGAACAATTGGCCAAGTTTGATGGCCAGCAACAACAACAACATCAGCAACAACATCAGCAACTAGCTGCCAAAACGTGAGTTCAACCTTATTCGAGAGCACTTAGAAATCAAAGCGTATTGCCCATAATTCTCTAATTCAAGTCGAATACCTCAAAAGGAGAGCCCCAACAGGTTGTTAAGATAATCTATAGATGAGAAACTATCTACCCTAGCTGCCTCCCAATTGGAGCAGCAACAGCGGCAAAACTAATTTGAAATGCGTTTGACGCGTTTTACATTCCGTCCCCTGTCCCTCTGTTTTCGGCTTTGTTATCCGAACCTGTGGGAATAGCAAATGGAATTAATGAGCCGCAGAGCCCAGACCCACTGATAGGAGCTTAGCTCATATGGAACATTTTATGGGCTAGTTTAATGGCTGTTTAATAGCTTTATATGGACGGCGCTCTAAAATGCTCATAAAAAGCTTTCACAGTCGAGGCATTCATTCGAGTGCCCCGACGTTTTGTGATCCGCAACGTTTATGAGCTACAAGTAGAACTAAGTCAAAGAATTTCGATTGTTTTTTATGGCCATTTGGAAATTTAATTGATGCCTAATTGAGATATTCGCATTTTTTCATTGTTTGTTAACATAATTTTATAGGCTGATGAACAGCTTCTAAAGTTGAGAAATTAAATTTTAATTATATGTATGTAATAGATATTAGTTAATAGCTTTAAAACAACGTGAGATTCTGAACTGTTTTTAACTGTATGACTCTGACTCCTAAAAGTAAACTTTAAAAAAAACTAGCATGAAACTCAATTTTCACATTTTCTCGCTTAGAGTTCTCAACTGGTTCAGGTACGGAACAGTTGACTATCCTTAAGTCAATGCTCACAAATCAGCAATCAAATCTTGAATTGTTCACAATCAATTTTTTTTGAATTTTTTTTTGAATTTTTTTTCTTGTGAATTTTTTTTGGAAACTTTTTTTTTTTTTTTTTAACGAAGTCCTTGCTGTATGCAAGAGGTCTTGAGCAATTTAATTGTTCTAAGACTGTCTCGTTCTTGAGTATCGGATATTGAATGCCTCATGGGAGAGGTGAGGTGTTCATTTGAAATACGAAGGTCCTTGCTATATGCAAGAGGTCTTATATGCAATTTCATTGTTGTATAAGACTGGCTCGTTATTCTTACTCGATGGACAAAGTTTCTTGTCACTGAAATATACGAAGGTCCTTGCTTTGAAGCAAGAGGTCTTATGCAATTTAAATTGTTATAAGACTGGCTCGTTATTCTTCCTTGGTGGATTTACGCAATACGAAGACTCTTGCTATATGCAGGAGGTCTTGATGGCTTATCCCATGTGATGGCATGGGAATGGTTCCACAGTACCCACTTATTAGTCTGGGTTCACTGATTCAGTTTGAGTGTTACATTTATTCATTAAAGTATTCCAAAAATCCCAAAGAATTATTGCTCATTCCTTTTTTTTTTTTGGAAGGTAAAATTTTGCTACTCATATTATGTCTTCTAACAAATAAGTAGATTGCCTTTACGCGAAGCATCTGAATTTCCAGAAATTGTCAGCTGGATGTTTGCTACCCTTCGCCGCTTCCTGTTTCGTATAGTTGCAGTTGTGTATTCCGCGCTACGAAATCGGTGCACTGATTCATCCTCTTCATAAATATACCAGACGTTTTAATTAGATTCGCCTTCGCTTTTCGAATTATGCCGAAGGATTGTTGCATCAATATGTTAGAGCCGGTGAGATCAAGAGTAACTGGTGGTGGTTGCACCGTATGATGGGGCACTGTTTCAATTCATGCCTTAAATATGCCAACAGAAAATATTGGCTGTGGCTAATTAAAGTGCAATTATGCGCGATGTGGCAGCATTGACGAAGAGTGGCCAGAAGCGAGGAAGGGTTGTTGGAATGTCTTCTCTTTATGACATTGTGGAGTTTGGAGTAATGTAACTAATAATATTTACGATGTTAATACTTGAATTACTTCTTCAAACTGAATTTTGGCTTCCAACAAATTTTTTGTTGAAATTATGTGGCCTATGGATGTGAAGCTTTAAATAACCAATTAATTTCTGCCTTAAATGTTCGAATAGCATTCGACCGGATTCTATAATTTACGTTTTTCATTGTTAAAGCAATTTGTGTGGTTTTACCAGCTTCAGCGCAATATTTGAACTATTTATATTCTGGTGGTGATGGCGGCGACGGAAGATCATAGCCTTGCTCAGGTGGTCGAGACGAAATTGTAGCGTTTGGTTTTATTTCTGCGTTCGCTACGCGCAGTGAGCAGATTCGTCGCGTTTTCTCTTGTTTTTCCATATACCTTCTTTTAGGCCTGGCTTATGCCATGGTAATTGAGATTGGCTGTTTAGGATGAGGGGGGCTGGGCGGGGCTCCTCCGATTTCGTAAAATATTTTATAGTACAGAGGTTGAAGTTAATTTTTTTTGTTCTTATTTGTTTGCAATTTGCCCAAACAGCCTATGGAAACTGATGGGCGTTACCTGGGTAACTGTGTCTTTTATTTATTAACTATCTTAACACAGTGTATTTTTTTAATGCATCTTAATACCTTCTCTTTTTTTTTATGTCCACATACATATATAAAAAACAAACGGTACAAATGTGGCGCGTCTTACAAAGGCAGGAAAAAGAATGATGTATACCCGACCATTTTTGTTTATTCTCTATGAATTGTTCAGGTGGCGGAGTTTATTAGCCTTACTTTGTTTTTTTTTTTTTTTTTTTTGTGGTTTGCTTGGTTGAAATTCAATTTAAATAAAGAAAATCACTAAACCTGCTAAAAGAGAAGACGGGCCCTAACCAGCCAAATTGAAGGGCGTTTGTATTTCCTGTTCTTTGATTATAGTCATTATATGAGATCTCCCTTTATCGCAGATATATAGCTGCTATTCTGAGTTCTTGGCTCACACACTTGCAATTTTGTGGCCATAAGTCACTCAAGGGTCGTGGCTTGTTTAGGCTTATGTGCAATCCAATCAATGTATCAGTGAGATAAACACGCGGCTTAAATGTTGTTGGTTATTTTTATAGCCGCCTGCGTATGGCAGTTCCATAGGTTGTGTGTCCAGGCGTTATTAGTCGGTGCTTTAAAGCATAGCTTAAGATCGATCTAGTCTTGTGGTGTGAAATTTAAAGACGGAATTTTGAAAGCTCTTCTATGTTGTTCCATTGGGTTCTTGTTTTTTTTTTTATTTTGTGAAAGTGTCGAAGCGGAACCAAATAAAAGAGCTCGAGTTGAAAATCGTGATTTTCTTGAAATATTTCTGCCACATGGCTGAGTGCTGCACTGAGTTGAGCTGTTTGACTTGGCCAAGATTCGCGCAAATTATTAACAAGCAGCTGCACTCGAGTGTCTTCTCAACGAGGGCTGCCCCTGCCCCCTGTGGCTGCCCCTAGCTCGCACTTACCGCAACTGGAGCTGAAGCTGATGTTGGCATTTGTTATTCATGCCGCATGCTGCTGCTGCTGCTGTTGCTGCATGTGCCTGTGCGCGCCTCACAATTAAGTTAGAAAAACATGTGTACATGCGCATTTGGGGCGTGAGTGGCATGCCCAAAAGAGCCAGGTCAACAGCGTCTTTAGCTTGCATTTTGTACCTGCCCCAGGGTCGCCCACGTGGCAAGCGCTGCCACTGCGGCTGCGGCAAGTGGCGCGTTAATGAGCCGCGCCAGCAGTGCCTCAACAATTGCATTTTGATAAATTGCTGGCCAACATACGACGAGGGACGAGGAGCCAGACGAAGAGTTGGAGCGCTAAGCCACATCAACTGGGCGAGGAAGTTGCCACAACTAACGGCGCTTTCATTCGCTAACAAGATCCTGTTCACTAATCCCAATTCAAGAGCTGATCGAGTTGCGCTTCAAGCTTCATTAGCCAAACAGTTGCGCAGTTCCTCAGTACAAGATGATTCTGCTTAGTCGGCCAGACGTGTGCTCATTGATGGACTGGAGAGATGCCCTGTAAAATGTTTACCAAGTTTTTGTCATTTTTATGTATCAAACTCAAATGACTTGTATCATTGATATAAATTCACAATATGGTGGACAATTTGTGTATCTTATGTATATTTTCGATATAGTACTGATGAAACCGGTTAGTTTGTAATAGTTCTGCCTATTCGGGCTGTAACAAGTATTTAAAATATTTTCAATTCAATAAAACTTTGTGGCTATAATCTTTTACTTATTTGATGTCTAATCTCTTGTTTGGAATGGGGCACTGATGTATTTATTTCTGAAGTATCCATATGGATATTTTATTTGTATTTCGTATATTTGGCTCTACTTGGACCGTGTTGTTCTAATTGGTCGGGACGAATTGAACTTTGTAGGTTGTCTAAATCATAAGACGTATTTATTAAAAATGTATTCAGTCTTTATTGTAACAAGGAATTTGAGTTTTGTTTTTTTGGAGTTTTTAGGATTTTGGGCTGTTGCTTTTCTTATTTTTGTCTTTTCCTTTTATTGCTCACCCTCGGATTAGCTGCAAGTTGATGTGGGTATGGAGTCCTCATTGTCCTGCTCATCTTCTGCAAACGCCCTCTATCGTGGCTCGCCACCAGCTGTAGTCCAACTTACAGGGTATTTGTAGTAAAAGGAAAGTTCTGATTGGTTGGCTTCCTGGTTGCCTGAACAACTGTGCGTTTGGCTAATGCACTTGGCGTCTAATGCTTGGATGATGACTTAATTGCGCATTTTAGCATAGGCATAGACCCAGATGCGCAGACAGAGTTTTTGAGATGCAGATGCAGATGCAGATGCAGATGCAGATACGGATACAAAATGCAGATACAATTCGAGCATTTACATTGGCAGCTACATAAGCGCCGGTCTGGTCAATGAGACGAGTCTGTGTTGTGACAGGCGGCGATTAGACCAAGTCCCTCTGCCTATCACTCGGGTATTCCAGTTCTCTCTCTGTCTCTCTCTTGGTTAATTGAAATGTGGCTGTGCGTTGGCTCGATGTTACTTGCTTGCTCGCCGTGCAGCTTGTTGCACATTACAGTTAACAGGGAAGTTGCCACAGGCGGCATATCAAAGTG